TAATACTTTAATTATAAATTATTTTATTACAAAATTTTTATTAGGTATTAAATATCATTTATTTTTGTTCAAATAATTTTCTAATTGTTATCCAGTAAATTTAATTTTTGTTTTATTTCATAAATAAATATATATATATATATATACAGTTCTATATTAAAATCAATTTAAAATAGTATGTGATATTATGATCGATTATATTAATAATATTACCAATAATTTATTGATCATTTGGTAATTATTTAAAATAATTACATATTACATAATGTATATACACATAATATATATTATAGTTATTATAATAATTATTATAATACATATAATTATAATAAATAATTATCAAAAGTTCAACAAATTATCAATAAATTATTATTACTATTATCTATTGTGAATTTTAAATAATAAATGTGCAATCATATAAATTATTATTCATATTAATATAATATTAATTAAATAATCGTAATTAGATGACATCAAAACACTCCTTTTACGTAGCTTCGTAGCTTTTAAACTTTAATAAAATTTTTATCGTTATATTTTTATTCTTATAATATAATTACTGCAATCGCGTTTAGCTTCATTCTAATTGCAATATAAATGAGCTAAAATTCGAAAAAAAAGCTCTCCAACAAATAGTACTATAAATCCGTGATTGCGTCATTATTGTCTCGGCCTCGCTTAAGCACAAAGTCACACCTATGCGACCCTTCGTGAAAAGCAAAAAAGCTCGTCACATCTCGCTCGTCACTGTATGCAGCTTCTTCTTTTTCTGAGGCACAGGATGTGCCCAATTCAGTTCAACGTATTAACGCAACCGCGTGAGTCATTTTGACAGGCATGTATCAGTAGAAGCGACAACGTCACTGCGCGTAGACGAAATCCATCTTTGAGATTAACGATTGGCATGCGGTATTATTCTTAAGCTATTCGGTCTCTTCTGTTACTTTTGCACTGCTAGAATAGTAATATTTTTAGTTTTCTAATTGAAATCTGTCGTATGAAATATAATCGTGAACTTCAAATTTAAGGTTTTGATTTGTTTTAACATCCTCAAATATGGAAATCCCAATATTTTATAGGAAAATTAATCCAGCATTTTATCAATAATTATAATTCCACAATTATTTTACATAGTCGCATAGTTGTTTAAATTAATTTTATTATAGACTCTATTCTAATACTCTGTAAGGGTATGGAGAATAATCGTTATCTTATTCGTATTGTTTTACCAATTAGTAATAATTGTTAAGGGGCTGTAAGTTTTGTTGAATATGATATAAACATTGTATATAATATCATAAAGGCTTATCGGAAATGATAATTAGATAGTTTAAGATGTTTTTTATCAGGTTGTGCATCACTTATATCAAGCCTATCGCAACATAACGCATGACGATGAATTTAGCCTTATTTTCCCATCGAATCGATGTTATACTTGAATTAAAAATCCGTGCTCAAGAGAGGCCACGATCCGTGCGTAGAGCCATGCTTTATAGAAAAACGGACACGATTGACTCGACTGACCTTAGCCTCCAATTCCGCAGCTATCCAGGCGGATGTTACGTTGGATCGTCGAAGCAAGGACGTTGAAATCGATATGCACTGACTGTTAACTCCGTATCGTCGTCTCTCGCTTAATCTGTACCAGTGAGACCCTATTGAATATCAATCTAGATCTTTTGGCTTATGTTTTAACCTGATTGAAATTGTTTCAAATTTTCGTTAATTTTCGTTTGGGAATAAGCAAAATCAGAATTACAGTGGTTCACTATTACGAGTAATTTGAATGTATTTATTTGCGATGCTCAATTATTTACCTTTGATGGCAACTTTGTACTTCTGTTGATTTAATTATATTTGTGATTATCATTTTATCTTACTTTAAATCCATAGTACTTTTTTTCAAGTACTGTTTGCTCATATTTCAATATTGATAATTGTTCCCATGTCGTAAAGTGAATAATTGCCTAATCTAGTAGATAAATTTATCTGTATGATATATTAGTTGAATTGGTTTTATACAATTACATCAGTAACTTATTATTTATAGAGTGACAATGTGGAATTATTTGTTAAGCATTATTGTCTATTTAATTTTCGAATTTCTTATATTATACTCGAAAGTATAATACATTATTTATTCGCTTATTATAATATATTTGATAAGTCAAAGTATAAGCATTAAGTTTGCATTCCAAAATATTATTAAGATTGAAAATAAAATAAAATTTAATATTGAACGATAAAATTGAAATTCACGATTTCATGTTTATAATATTCTTTTCATTTTCAACGCAATTTCATTGCGGATTGAATTAAGATTTATCACGTAAAATATCTAATACAATAAACAAAGTAAATTCATAAAAGAAAGTGGTACATTTAGAAAAAATATTTAATTTACTTGCCTACGAAAAGAAATCTTTCATTGATGAAGAACGTGGAAAAATTTTAAATGAAAAAATTTACTCAATCGGACAAATTGTCTTTATGTATTTACTCACTTTTGCAATGTTCTTCCTGGGCTTTTTATCAGGGCACTTCCGTTCATTTCGTTAAAGTCTTAAGTAATTTAATGAAAACCGGGTATAACTGGGTAGAATGCAACCCGTCTTGAAAGTGTTTTGCCACATTTCCTTATCAGGTTTTATGATATTTCTCACAAGATATATCCGTTTCCATATATAAATAATTAGATATTCATTCATTTTTACAATGATTTTAAAAAATTCTTAAAAATTATTATGGTTCAATTAAGATAAATTGTTTACAGCATTCATTGAAATTATTAATAAGATATTTATTTACAAATATTGTGATTAAAAAAAAAACAAAAAAAAAACAAATAAAAAACAAAAATAATAATACTAATAATAAAAAAACTATCAGCTACTATAATGTAACATTATTAGCAAACAAATATTTTTTTCTAATAAAGTGATTTGTCAGTTAATAAGTTAATCGTGATTTAATAGTGTATATTTAGTTTATATCATTTTGTATAAGAATTAATTTTATATAAAGAATTTTTTGTAATCGTTAAACTAATATAAAACTTCAATATAGTTAGTATTTTGGAATATAAAATTTTTATAATTACTTTAAAAATACAAAGAAACATTTATTATTCATATAGTTTCTCGTACAAACATTACATATACAATTATTATATTTTTCTACATAATAACATATTGTAATATTTCCATGAATATTACATTGTTTCAATTCTTTTTTTTTTAGAAAACCATCTTTTTTTAATGATAAATATTTGACATAAATTGAAGTTAAACAGTTTAATAAAGTAAAAAGTTCAATAAAATATTTTTAACGTACAATTTATGTGAAAATTAAGTAAAATTTTATTTTCCTACAATTGTCTGCTTTTTATTATTAAAGTATTCCAATAATTTACATAAAGTTAAAAAGAGTAATCTAGTTTTTGTAGCAATAATACATTATAACATTTTGTTCATCTATAGTTCGTTCATTAGTATAAACGAATTACGATAAGTATTAACGAACAAGCTTGATAAAAAGAATTAAAAGAAATTTTTTCCAATTAAATCTTTGAAAGGGAATGCGTTCATAAATAATAATTATAATTTAATTAAAATATAATTAATATATATAATTTTCATTTAATAATTCATATACTGACAATGCAGAATTTAAATTATGTATGGTATTGTCCATGAGTCATAAACAATCTTAAAATGTATTTTTCAACATTGTGGTAACTTAGGCAGAGAGTTTATATTTATTTTCAAAATTTTTGCCCAATTGATAAAGAACGTATAATACAATTGTAGCGCAGATTTAAGTTTTAGAGATATTATTAACGTCGAAGTAGATCTTGCTATAAGACGGTTAAACATGGTGTTGCACTCTATTAATTAATGCTTTTTCGGCTAAAGAAGCTTTTTATACGTTTTAACGGCTTTCGCTACCACGGTTGGCTCTGAATACCACGTAAAGAGACGAAGCGATACAAGGAAACCTTTGACCTTGCCTCGTGGCGGTGCTCGCTAATCAAACACGACTTTTCACGAATAATACCGACGAGACCACAAGCTGGGATTGAGGAGATTTGCAAGTGATCGGCTAGCTGGAATGGTAAGTCGAGAGAAGAATTAGTGGTAAATTGTACAATGAAGCGGGGGAAGGAAGGCAACGCGCGTTAAGCGATTAGAAA